TTTTTTTTTTTTTTTTTTTTTTTTTTGCTCGGACCTTCCCTGGTCCTTGCACGGCCGGCCGCTCGGGAAAACAGGGTGACCCGCGCGGCCCAGCTGGTAGCCTAGTAATTACACAAATACAAACAGTTTCCCTGCCTGGTGGCCAAATATCAAAAGAGTGAAAACATCACAGATATTAATTAGGATGGGACGAAGGAAAGAAGCACTGGCGAGCCTCTAATGGTCTTTTTTGTCCTGTGATAGCGCTTCATGGCATGCCCGAGGCAACCTCCAAGCGCAAAGGAGTACATGTGTACGTGCACAGTACGTACCTATGAAGGTCTGCTCTGAGGGAGTTGCTGAGCTCCATCAGGCAATCTCTCTCTTCGATCAGCCGTCGAATCTCTCTTGCTGCTGCCTGGAGTTGGCTTTGGAGTGGACCAACCAGCAAGCTCATGTCCTTCGCGTCTTGCACATTATTCTCCTTTCTATGTGAAGCGGTATAGATACTCTGAACCTGGCTTTGGCAAGCGAAAAGGCGTCACAAAAAAAATGTAAATGTGGACAGGGCGCTGTCCCTTAACAAACAAACACGTACCTTTCCCCACGGAACGAAGCAAGAAACCTTTTCTTTTCACACAGACGATTTGATTGGCAGGATGGTAAGCTCCCTTCCCTGAGGCATTACTCTCCCCGAACAACATGCTTTCCTCCGCACCACAGGTAATCAACTTTTAACTGCGGTAGATTGACCGGCAGGTCCTTAGGTAACATGGTTTTGCGGTTGAGAATTTTGGGGGTTCAGGGTTAGCGATTAGGGTCAGGAGTTAAGGTTAGGGTTTGGGGTTTAGGGTTCACGGCTTGGGGCTTAGGGTTTAGGGTTTGGGGCTTAGGGTTTGGGGCTTAGGGTTTGGGGCTTAGGGTTTAGGGTTTAGACGACTTCCTTGAGGCCTTGCTCTTCCCTTTGACAACATCCCTTCCTCCACACCAGAGGTAAGTTCCATGATGGATCGATCGATGTTAGGGTTTAAAGTTAAGGTTTAGGTAAGTTCCATGTCCGGACGGTCCGGACTGGTCCAGAAATCCAGACATCCGGATCATATCGGGACTGACTGGTTGTCTGGGTCCGGATCGGTCTGGTGTCCAGGTCCGCGGTAGCCATCGTTTAGGGTTTAAGGTTCAGGGTTTAAGTTTTGCAGTTTAGGGTTTAAGGTTCAGGGTTTAAGTTTTGCAGTTTAGGGTTTGCGGTTTAGGGTTTGCTGTTTAGGGTTTAGGGTTTAGGGTTTCAGGGTCAATGTTTTGGGGGTTTTAGGGTAAGATAAGCTCCTGCAGGCTTTGCTCTTCCTTAACCATCACTCTCTTTTTGTGACCATCCTCTGGACCTGGGCCAGTTTCTGTGAATGGAAAGAAAAAAAAATGGACTGGGTCATTTTTCGATTTGGCCGTTCAATTGACCAGCTGAAAAAAAGGGTGGCCCTGTGGTAACCAACCATGCCTATTGCAAAAGTGGGGTGGTGTTTTTCGTCTTTTTACCCCCCTCAACACCCCCTTATTCTACCCGTCTGATTCCACCAGGATTCAAACTCATGATCTGTTCATTGACAGTTGTATGTGTTTACAGGGTGGCCTCCGAGTCATCCACGAGTTCCTCTTTCTTTTTTTTCTTTTCTTTTCTTTTTGTGGAGTAGCCCCTAACACTGTTGTACTCATCTGATCACCCCTGTCTTCACCCAAATATAACGCCTGGTCATTATAGCTGTATTTGGGGCAACTTGCAGTCCAGATGCAGTGATAATGACCAGACAATCTATTCAAGTGACGACAGTAGCATTTGAACTCACGATCTGTTTACTACGAGTTGCGTGGGCCGGGTCATCTATGAGTTTCATAACCAGAAGTACTCGCTTGGTCGCATTCCATCTGCACTGGATCTCAGCTTCAGCAGGGGCAACAATCCGTCACCGCCCGGCTGCTTCCTTTCTGTTTTTTATTCCGTCATAGCCTACGTGTACCTCCTCTTTCAGATAACCCATACAGCTATCACGGAATAAACGATGAGCTTTCCTAGTAAACAGATCGTGAGCTTGAAAAACTTCAAATGATGAGTGTGCTTTCCTGGGCTGTAGAGTAGCTTGCCGGCGCAGGAGGAATCGACACTCAACTTGGCACCTCTGAACGTAGGGAGATGAATAGAGAGAAGGATATACGGGGGTTGGGGAAGGGGGCCGGGGTCGTGAGGAGGAAGACCCACAACTTTGTGACTTATAGCAGGCAATGCAGTGTGTCTTCATGTAAATTGTCCGAGCACATGGCACATATTTTGTGACCGTTGGGAGTCAGACCTGTTTCTGTTCTTCGCCTGTTTGAATGATTTTTTCTTTTTGTTGTTGTTTTGCAATGATGTGCTGTGCCGACTGGACGGATTTAGATTATGGGAGGGTGCCAGTTGGGGTTGCTTATCCCCCCGGCAAAGAATGTTAGATGGGCAAAAGGCTAAAAGCTCAGAGCTGCCCGGTGAACCGTAGGCAGAGAGGGAGGGAGAAGAGGACAACAAACGAGGGGCTGTGACAAACTGTTTCGTCGGACTTTCATCGACTGACACATCAGGAGGCTGAACACTCAACAGTCTGCAGAATCCCCTAACTGATTACACTGTAAGTGATAATCCACCTTAATCCCCGTTGTGGTTAAGCATCATATACAGATATAGATCACAGCCCTCCGTTTCTTGTCCTTTTCTCCCTTTCTGCCTAAGTTTCACCAGGAAGGTCTCTCTAACAGTCACATATAAGTCAACTAGACCGACGATCACAATTTCTGAACACAGCGGAACCCTTCTTTTCGCCTTTTTCTGTTTGGTCCGTTTTCTCTTGTTTTAGCTCTCCCTTTACTGTGTCTCTCAGGTGCAAGACTCGCTACAGTAGCGAAGCAAACTCCAAGAGCATATACTCAAAGTCTAAAAGTATAAAACACCAGGACGTTTCCCAGGCATTTTGCAAGAACACAGCCGTGCACGTGCCATGCCTGGTGGCATGTACCGGTCTGCCACCAGGCAAAAAAATACATCCAGGGAAATCAACAAATTGGGAAATCAACAAATTGGGTCGTACACACGACGCCATTTGCCTGGATGTACTTTTGTGACGTGGCAGACCGGTACATCCCGCCAGATGCAGCGCATGCATGGCCGCGTTCTCACAAAATGGCTGGGAAAAAGTACTGGTCGTTTAAGATTGTATAGAATGAGGACAACTGACGAGCTGAGTCCATCGTCACAACCATACCTTGTCGTGGTGAAGATCATGATCACGACGACCCTCCTGCAGATCCAACGGTCTGGCATCCACTGCTGCGTGTGGGGTGGTGTTGACGGCACCCTGCATCATTTCCATCTCAATGCGCATTTGGGCTGCAATATTATTTTCATAGTTTCCCAAATTCCCATTGTAGCGACAAAAAAACGTATTAGTAAACCGCATTTGAGCTGCAGTATCATTTTCTCATAGGGTTAGAATCCCGCACCCTGCACCCCCCCCCCCCTATTTTTTTTGGGGGGGTAACGTTCGGTAAATTTCTGTATAGTTGTGTAAAGTAGTATATACAGAAGTTGTTTTCAGTTTTTCAGCATCAATAAAACAAAAAAGAGCAACGAGCTCATGCGCATGCGGAAAGCACCAGCAGATTGACGCTATGATGTCTTAGGGGCATACTCATACTCCGCCTTTCCTGGATGTATCTGAGGACAATCAAGGTCAGATTCATACCAGAAAGTACAAGTCTCTTGAAGTCTGAGTATGCCCTTACAATTTTTCACCACAGGTAGATGCATGTCTGGTGGTAGATGAGATGGGATGAGCAACAGTCGGCAACACAGCTTCTCGCATGAGCATGGATAGAGAGATTCGCCCATGAAAACAATCCATGCCGCACGCAAAACGAACCCAGGACGAAGCACACAAGGGACAAACCATACCCAAGGAAAAAACCATCAAAGCACAATGGTGGGATCCAACCCGAGAGTCCGACCCCCCAAAAAAATAGTAATTAGTAATTATAATTACAACACGCCGTCCTTCGGGACATCCGTTAAAATTGGAACGATACAGAGAAGATTAGCATGGCCCCTGCGCAAGGATGACACGCATAAATCGAGAAATGGTCCAAATTAAAAAATAAAAAATAAAAAAAATTGCAACACGCGCACAGGACCCATCCACCAAACAGAGGAAACTCCCTCATCCACAAAGCAAGCGACCATCCCTCAACGTGTTTCTACTACCCCGCCAGTGTCTGGCGGTAACTGCAATATACTTGAATATAGTAATATAGTAATGTACACAAAATAAAGAAGGGCATCAGCTGGGTTCATAACATCTGATAAGAAAAAAATAGGAAGAAGATGGGCAGGGTGATGCAATGAAGAACTTTTTTTAAGCTTTTTTCTTTTTTTTTTGCAATTAAATTGAATCAATTGCATTCTACACTTTCAAGGCGTTCACCTCAATCTTAGTGCCGGGCAAAATGAAGTTATCACCTCATTGCCTGAGAAAGGAAGAACGGAAAAGAAAAGGATGGGTAGACATTCGGAAGGGAGTGCGTGCGTGAGTGAGTGAGTGAGTGAGTGAGTGAGTGAGTGAGCTAGTGAGCGAGTGAATAGGTGAGGGAGGGAGGGAGGGAGGGAGGGAGGGAGGGAGGGAGGGAGKGAGTGACAGAGCGAGGGAGGAGAGAAGGGTAGAGAGACGGAGGGAGGAAGTCAGTGAGTGAGTGAGTGAGTGAGTGAGTGAGTGAGTGAGTGAGTGAGTGAGGGGAGGGAGGGAGGAGGGAGGGAAGGAGGGAGGGAGGGAGGGAGGAAGGGAGGGACAGAGGGAAAGGAGGGAAAGGAGTGAAAGAAGGAAAGGGAGGGAACAGAGGGAAGGACGAGAAGGACACCGGGAGAAGATATGAACGTAAGTTTTTTGAGATGCCAACTCACCTACGATGGCTTGCATTCGCGAATTTTCCTGAGTGAGCCTTTGAATACTTAATTTCAGCTGCTCATTCTCCATTTCTAGGATCGGTCTGTCTTCTGAATTCACCAAGCCATGATGATGCCCTCCCATTGCTTCAGCTTGCTCCTGATCCCGGTCGCCTGGAATTGATTTACAGTTGCGAAAGTACGATTACAATTCTCTTTGTTATGATCCGACTGCACTCAGAATGCAAGACTCAAATTGCGAGACAACGCAAGACTTGCTGAAACAAAAAACAAGAAGTGGAGAGCGAGAGAAAGCGCAGAATAATAAAAAAAAGAAGACGAAGAATTACACAAGTTGAACCAATGTTTCCCCCCTCACTTCTTCCTTCTTTCATCTCCTTCTCTGGACACGAGAGTTTCAAACCGAGAGGTAATCCCCATGCCGTTTCGGAGACCTCCCTGTCAAAGAAGTAATTAAGCAGAGACGGGACATTCTCATCGATGGCCTGCAAGAGGTGGTGACAGGGGATTAAAAAGTGACCATATTGGGCCTGTTCAGAATTTCAGACCTTGATTCAGAATAGATTTGATCGATCGCTGAAAAATTAAAAAGCATGGTAACTGGGCCAGCAGCCTACCTTCTTTCCCCGAACATAATGCATATGTGTTGTATTCGAGTTTCAAAATTTGAAAAAAAATCGAATAGAGCGCATATGCGCTGTATTTTTTGAAGTGTATTCAAAATTTAGGGCTATTCAAATAGAACGCATACGAGTTGTATTCAAAGAGAACACACCCTGTGCGTTGTATTCGTTTACAATGGATATGCGGTATGTTCGGGGGAAGAAGGAAGCTCAGTTGGTAGAGCACGAAAGCTGCACTCAGGAGGCAGTGGGTTCGATTGCTCACACCTTCCATTTCGGACTGGGAAATCACACGGCTCCCTGAGGCGCGGTGTGTGTTCTCCAGCTAAGATAGTCAGCTTGCCCCTCCTAGTTGGAGGGTGGGGAGAGTCAATATTCCTTCCTGCCGTCGCTGGAGTTAGGCTCAACCCTGAGGGGATAGGCTCAACCCATAACCCTTGGTGTAGCTGGCTTGTGGTCCATACATAAAGAGTTTAGCACTCCAGGCTAGGTATGTAGGTAGTTGGAGGCATATTGAGAGAAGAATATAGATTAGTTATGAAATTTAATGAAAATAATAATAATAATAAAAAATCATGGTAACCACAGACCCAGACGCCCAACACAACCGAAACATGTGCCTCGTTGGGTCCAGAAGTCCAGTTTCAGGGACGCGCCCTGGACATCGGGCCATGAACACCCCGAGTATCCGGATGGGGGACTGGGGGCCCAATTATGTGTCCAGAACCTAAAGAAAAAAAGAGGATAGCAAAGTCTGTAGGACTCTGTGCCCACACACACACACAGACAAATATAAACTGAAGATCTGAAGTAAAATGAAACAGGAGTATAGCTCCCCCTTTTACTCTGCCTTCTAATGTGCAAGTGTGCCATTAAACCACCAGTACATGGCCCCAGGCAACTGGAGAACCTGTTTTGAGCCTCTCCGAAAATTTAGGAGGCCAGGCGCCGGATAAAATGAATCGGCGGTGGGCGGCCTCCAAAAGGGCCCTGCGGCCGATAGCTGGCATGTACTGGTGCTTTAAGGCACACAGCAATGTGGGCAGCCGTCACTCAACCACAATCAAAATGGCCAGCCTTGTATATGAGAGACATAGTAAAAGGAGAGCTGCAAGAACAAATGAAAGACATAGTTAAGAAAGGAATTCAAACGGATTTATTGTGCTCTATGTTGCTTGCTATAGAGGTAAAACTGTTTCATTCTTCAACTGTCGCAACTGAAGAAGTGCTTTTGTTGTCTGCAATAGGACTAAAGCTGCTTCAATTTTGAATCTACTCATCTGGGTGGAATAGGGGCTTTTGTGGTGAAAATCCAAAACACACACACACACACACACACACACACACACACACACACACACACACACACACACACACACACACACACACACAGAGAGAGTGATAGATAGATA